GTATGGCTCTGCGCGTTTCTCGCCGTTAAGTACCTGGAGCTGAACGTGTTCCGGCCGCGCGCGTCCCGTACACGCATTCCTCCGTCTTCCTGTTTGTCTCGCCAAGCACCGTACCTGCAGAGAGCGACGCCAATCTGCGCGTGCGTAAGCGGCTGCACCTGCTTCCCTTATAAATCTTTTGTTCTTGTTTTTCTTACTTCTTTTCCCCGTTTCTCGTCCTGGTCTCTCAGCTGCTGCTTCCCGCCTTCGCGCTCTGCATGCAGATTTGTATGGCGCCTTAAAGCTCCGAGGTCTCGCAATAAGCTCGTACGGAAAAAGGAAGCACGCGCATTTAAGCCGAAGTATATGCACCTACGCCTTGTTTGTCTGCGCTTGCTCTTGACGTTGTTAGATTGATTGAATTATTGTTTCGTACTTGAAATTGTTTTGGCATTCAAGACGAACGACGGCAATCATTGTTCGGGATCTTCAGCTTTCCGCGAAACCGCTCCGCGGTGTCTGCCGTCGTGACGATGACGCCCGCAATTTCAGTGCAGATGGCGCCTACACTAAAGTTATGTTGTGAGTGAGAAGGGACATAAACAATTTTTTACGAGTTGTGTATTGTTTATTCATTCCAAGGAGGAGGTCCAGTTATACTTCTAGAGAAACTTATTCCCTGCCACTCTTTCTCTTGTGCTCGGGAATTTGCTTACGTTCAGTTTTCGGGCTGCGCTTTAATAGGTAAACGGTTAAGTGTGATAATTGAGAACAATAATGAATGCTATATATAGCTAGCCGTTCAAGATACATGCACCTCCGTTCTTTCGTGCTTTTTGAACTGCTTTCATGTTAACGGCACACGTGTAAGCACTGTTCTCTCGCTTCCCGCGATCCCCACAGTGCTGTATATAGCCAGGACGTCTACTTTTTTCCGGGCTCTTATTAGCACTTCGCCCAGGACCTAAAAGTACGTAGACAGACGGAACACCAGTTTCAAGCACGTGTATTTGCGTGCTCATATCGGGCTTCTTCGTTACTTAAAAGTCAATTCTCGTCGACTTTTACGACATTTCGAGGGGAAGGTTGCCTTTTTTGTTTTCGAGCGTCTCTTGACGCTGGAGTACTGCCACGTCGTATTTCACGCGTCTCGACGAGAAAAAAAAAAAAAAAGGCGGCTGTGCGTGCTTCCTTGTCTGACGAAACCATTCAAGAAGAAGAGAAGAAGAAGAAAAACGTTCCTCTTGATTTGTCCTTGTTTCGCGCTTGAAGAAAAGAAACGCATATGTTGCGGAAGAAGAACATGGAGAGGAAGCATTCCCCGCTGCTGCGGCCGGGGGTTGGGTCACGTGGCTCCGAACGGAAAGGCTGGTGGAAACATGGAACGCGTCCAACTAGGAACTCTTGCCCTCTTCTGAATCTCTGACCGTTCTTTTCGAAAAAAAAAAAAAAACACCTGAGCGCTCAATGGACGTGGAGAGGATGGGTCGTCGGTGGCGGCTGAAGAGACAAATGTATTTCTGCGTGCCACAACGGAAGGCCTTCACCGCGACGACGAGGAAGGACTTGTCGATGTCCGGTTTTCCGATTCCCGTGCGACCGTTCTTAGCGTTGCCCGAACGGCGGTAGTGGCTGAGCCGTTCTGTCGCTAGTGCTTCGCTCCTGGTTGGCCCTATCCCCAGGTTTTTTCGGCTCATTTTCTCGTCCCTGTTTCTTAAACTCTTTTTTTGTTTATTGTCAAGTTGACGTCTCCTCTGGAGGCGTGATGTCGCTAGGCGTGCGTGTGGATTTCTTGGCAGTGTGTTGTGGCGCCCTATATATAACGCGCTTCCTCTTGCATGGCATATGTAGTACGTAATACGCGAAAAACACGTTATCGCTTCTCCCTCCATCCGAGAGAAACAAAAAAAAAAAAATGGCAGCATATCCACGGAGTGAATGATGGGGAGTGGGGCGAAGCATTCGTCCGTCCATTCGTTCTTTCTTCCGTCCGTTCCTGCGTAAGTCTGTGTAACCGTCCATGCGTCCATCCACCCGTCCGTGCGTGCGTCTGTTCGTGCGTCCGTCCCTGCGTTCGTCCATGCATCCGCGCCTGCGTCCGTTCATGCGTCCATCCATGCGTCCATCCATGCATCTGTCTGTGTGTCCGTTCGTCCATCTATTCAGCACTCCAAGTACCACCATCTCGCATCTTTTCGTCATATATTCCCCGTATAGAAGCACCGCCATCCAGCGGACATTTCAAGGACTAAACGGGAGGTGGCACATGCACACTTTCTTACGGCTTGCGCTTCGGGTTTACTTCCCATCTTTAACCACCTCGAGTTCATGGTATATACTAGTTCACTGTATTCATGGCTATGCGGCCCAACGCTCGCTAAACCTTTCTAAAACCAAGGAGGTTACACCCAGCGAGTATAACGTAGCAACCCTTTCTTGTCAGATCGTGCTCAATGTACATGCCAATAGCTGCTAATGAGGATCGCAGCGTGCGCGTTACCTAAAGGCCGAACGCTCCTGTCTCTCATTCCCCCTTAGCAGCCATTAACATGTGCATTGAGCACTATCTTTTATTGTTCAACAACGCACAGAAGAAATCTCTCACTGGAACCACCTTGGAGGTCAAAATCGTAAGGACCGCTATTTCGGGTATGTGCCACTGGTGGTTACGTACTACGAGGGATGCACAAGCCACGCCATAAGGAGCTTCGCCCCTAAAAAAATTGTTGCGCCGCAAATCGTGATTTGTGGGCCTAATTGCATTGCGTTTACGTGAACCTGGAAGGCCGTTAGCTTTCTAGGGGAAAGAAAGATTGCCCCGCCGCTGTGGTCTAGTGGCTAAGGTACTCGGCTGCTGACCCGCAGGTCGCGGGTTCGTATCCCGGCTGCGGCGGCTGCATTTCCGATGGAGGCGGAAATGTTGTAGGCCCGTGTACTCAGATTTGGGTGCACGTTAAAGAACCCCAGGTGGTCAAAATTTCCGGAGCCCTCCACTACGGCGTCTCTCATAATCAAATGGTGGTTTTGGGACGTTAAACTCCACAAATCAATCAATCAATCAATCAAAGAAAGATTAGCACTTGGCAGCCAAACTCTGCATGAAGGGCGTTCCTTCCGCCCAAGATCGAGTGGAATTTGACGCATTGCGATCACGAGCGAATCGCTAGTGTACGGTCCTGATATTCTTTACTTCAAGCTTTCTTTTCGTGAGGCTAGCGCCTAGGGACATCGTATATTTCGAGTGGCCTAGAGAAATTCGTCCCCTACCAACCAGAAGTTCAACGGAGGCTCGAACGGGATGAAATCCTAAAAAAAAAACAAATAAATAAAAATTCGTATCAAAAGAACGCAGCAGTTCAAGAGTTGAGCAGCATGTAATTGGCGTAGGTGCATAAGTTTGCTTAAGATAAGTTCTAATGAACTATTTGAATGATTAGTTAAACTTATTTGAATGAGCTCATTGAACGAGCAGGTGGTTCTCTTGTGACGGGTGGGATCACTGAGACACCTGGCGGAACATATCTTAACTACTTGCTCTTCTCTACGTAGCCTCTGCGTTTTGTAAAAAAATAAAAAAAATGATGGTGCTCTACCGGAGTCGATTAGAAAAGGCCATGCAGTGTTGTGCCCTGTTCAACTTTAGAGCGGGACTCGAATCAGTTGAATGAGTTCATTGAAATATTGGACTGTTTTTTGTGTTTATATATATATATATATATATATATAATATATATCTATATATATATATATATATATATATATATATGTACGCAAGAGAACCTGGAGAGGGAAGAAATGGTAGATAAGGCGAGATAGGGAGGCTATTTAGTCCAGGATAACCGGTTTGCTACCCTACACGTAGGAACGGGATGGAGGAGGTTGAAAAGGGAGAGAAAAGAGAAAAAGACAGCACATCACAAACACGCAGTCGGTCACAGTAGACGTCACTTCTGGTGCGGAACGCGTCGCCACTGTCAGAACCGCTTGTCCGAATCCGCTTTTCTCGAAAACCTCGGCAGTTCTTTGGCATTATTATTATTATTATTATTATTATTATTATTATTATTGTCTAGCAGCTCGCCTGCAGTTTTCGTTGCGGACTTCGTAGTCACGGGTCACGGTTCAGTCACCATATTTCTTTGATTTTTATGGTCACAGCGTGAGGATGGGTGGCACGAAACAAAAACAAAAGAGAGAAAAAAACAGAGATGATTGCGGTCGCTTTGAGAACCCTTGACTAGCAGTGCTGCTAGTTAAGGCTTCTGGCTTAGTTAAGGTATTTTGTGGCTGTAATTTTTCTTGCTTGATTAGAGCTGTCAGATGGTGCATGCGTGAACTCGGATCTTTTTATGGTCACAAGGAGCGTTAAAGGTATGGCTCATTTATTCACTTAGAGATACGTTGCACTTACCATCGCAAACAAGTCTTAGATATTCTTCACTTCTTACTTCTTTGAAATGTTTAGCTGGACGTCCAGTACGTTAACGTATGGTTATGGCGCTGTTGTTGGCACGCGATGATGGAGACGCCCGTATCCAACTCTTCGGGCTTGTTTCACGGTAAAATTTGGGTGCTTCCCACAACATCATGGCCGTGAAGCGGCGTCGAAGTTTCCTTGTGTTCGTCGCGTGTCCATCGTGTGCGTGGGCTGATATTGGTATGAGTCTTTCTGGGGGGGATAACATTGTCGAAATTAATTGAATGAATAAATAAATCAACGTTACACAATTTTGTCCGTGGTGCGAGCGGCTTTGGTCTCGCGGGAAAGTCACCTCGACGTAGCCCGAGATTAACGTGTAGGGTGCGCTTTTCTGTACTGCTTTTCTGTGATGATCGGCAGCCGGCTTTACCGGTAGCCGATTGCCACGGTAGGATAGTATACGCTCAAGCTATTTTATTGTGTTGAACAACAACAACAACAACAACAACAACAACACGTGGACAATATATAGTACACTTGTTGTCTAGCTTCGTTCTGACGTGACCACCCGCCTTGATGTACTTATTTATCTTTCGTACAGTGAGCCGCCTCCACTGCGAGAGCGAGTCCTTCAAGATGGACCTCATCCTAGACGTGAACACCATGCTGTACCCTGTGGACCTGGGTGAGTGCACGGCCCCATTCTGCGCGTCAGTGTCGTGCTTAGCCGCGGGCTTGTTTTTGGACGACCCCTCTGTGCCACCTTGTTCGAACGCGGCTTTGATGCTCCAGGCTCGGTAATCGTGGTGCCAATGAAACCTTTTTTTTTCGTCTGCTTCTGTCACTTGTTTGCTCTAGATGAATTCAATAGACAACTAAGCCGTCGTAAGTACATGGAACATTATTTGTTGTTTTAAAGTATGGTATGTTGAGAATGACGTAAATTGAAACAATTTGAGTGTAAAAGTTGAGAAGGTTGCAGGGTCGGGCCTCACCAACTGAAGGAGTGTTTTATTGCCTGCATTATCTCGTTATTACTGCACATCCGCTAAAATCAACAAATGACACTTATTGTGGCTTAAAGGCGTACTGAACAGAAATTGCATAAACTGACGACACTTTTAAAAATTCGACTGGAAAGATGCCACTGTTCCAAGAAAAGGAGGTAATGCTCGTATTTTTGAACAGTTCGTTGTTATTTTTGATGGATCGTCAGCGCTCGGTGGCTTCTCGCAAGCGCGAGCCGTGACGTCACACTCACCGAGGGGCATGTATACGGCGCACGCGTTCTTGTCCTCCTCTTGTTCTTCTCCTCCTCTTGTTCTTCTCCACCTCTCCTTTCATGCCACACTTTCCCTTCCGCAAAAGCGCTGGTGCTTTTGCCCAGCCGGAAGCATTGTTCGCCGCGGTTGCTGTTCATACCGGTTTTGGGAACCGAAGTGGGAGTTAACCGAGTCAAGAGGTGTGGGCGTAGGCTAGCATTGTTGACCCGCCCGTTTCGGGTGTGTGTGACGTCACCCAGCGTCACCTTCTCTATTTTACGGCGAGACCTCTAGACGCGGCAATTTGTGAGAAAACGCATTAATTTCATTATTTTCCCCGTAATTTCTGCCTGGAATGAAGATTGTCTCTGTCGATTTCAGGGCCCAATCTTTCAATTTGGCTGAAAATCACCCGCCGCGTCGGTCTAGTGGCTAAGGTACTCGGCTGCTGACCCGCAGGGCGCGGGTTCGAATCCCGGCTGCGGCGGCTGCATTTCCGATGGAGGCGGAAATGTTGTAGGCCCGTGTGCTCAGATTTGGGTGCACGTTAAAGAACCCCAGGTGGCCTAAATTTCCGGAGCCCTCCACTACGGCGTCTCTCATAATCATGTAGTGGTTTTGGGAAGTTAAACCCCACATATCAATCAATCAAAATCATAGCGGCGAATATTTCGTTCAGTATCCCTTTAAGTTGATTGCCACGGTAACCGTGTTTGTAAGCCGTTGTTTGTAATCCGTGTTATAATCCGTTGCCACAATAACCAAGGGTATACAACCTGTAGAATACCTTTTAGTTGCTTCTAACGAAGAAACTTCGGTCATGTTTTCTCTATATTAAGGTGAAACAAATTCTGACCTAATTACTTTCAACGATGAACAACAGCTACGAGTTGCGACTCCTAATCGAATATGAATCGGATGGTGCCAGAAGCGAATCGAAACTAATCTCGAATGCCGAATACTTTTCGACTATATTTTTGAGTATAGAACAGCGTATTTTCACAATTATGATGAGATATTCTTGGCATCCTGGTATTCAGAATTCTAGTAATAATCGGACAAATGGAGCATCAGAAAAGAAGTAGTTGACGATGAAGTCTGGCTCCGCGAGGGTCATCCCACGTAACTGCGCTACGTTCTATATCTCTGATTTGATGCCCGCAGAAATGAGACCTGTCGGGTCTTCGTACCATTTTTGTATTACTTTAGATGTTGTATAAGCTTACCCGAATGGTGTCTTGTTCGACCTGAATACCGAATGGAATGGAGCACTATTTGATTCGGCATAGGAAATTTTCGAATGTTAGCTCTGACAGTGTACCAAACAATTACTCTGAGCCCTTGTAACCTCGTACGGGAGTAGCCAGCAAAGAGATGCCTGATGGCTATCTGCGGCTACGTCAGTGTATCGTGAACTGAAACACAAACCAAGACGGCTCGGTACCAACTTGGAATTTTCGTAGTTCAAGCAAAATTAATGCCTGAAAATGAGTAATCGGTGGACGTTGTGGTCAGCGGGCAAGTTGGTCTGCTTCTTCAGAGTTTCGACATCTGTTGCTGCGGCACCCTTTACATTCGTAGGTAGGGCTATCACGTTTCACGTTGGCGCTTCTGAATCGAGCGAACGATGGAATTCATTCACTTGAAGGACTTCGCTCGGCGCCACACGGTATAGTTCGGTATTGTTCGGTATCCACACACGGTATGCTGATGTATTGTTTGCAGACGGGCTTCTAGTCTCGTCCGCATTGCGTACCGCGACCAGTCAACTTAGATTCAGTGGTTGGTATATATGTAGAATTCTGCGTGGAACCGGTTCATGTGGCTCGTTTCAGAACGTTTTCTGCCGGCGTGGTTTTCTAGTGGTCTACGACGCTCAAGTCAATGCAATTGCAACAGTGTTCTTTTTTTTTTCTTGTTTGTTTTTTGTGTTTAGTTCGAGCACACCGTATAAACACCCTGGAGAGTCATTCGCAGTTGGTGTAGTACCAATATGTGGAAATACAGTGTGTGCTTACCGGTGAAAATACGTGAACTGTGAGCGGAAAGAAGGACGGTTGTTTTAAGGAGAGACAAACGGTGATCTTGGCCGCCAAGTATACCTAGTGTCCTCGGCGTTGCCGAAAAGGTTGCGTGGTGTGGTCGCACGAAGAGGGAGAGGAAGCTCTCGCGGTCCCTCTAACGGCCGATTGTGAAACGATTCCGAAAGAGTGCTTCTTCGTATGGTGCAAGGGGGCGCGCGCGCGTAATTGCATGGCAACAACTGTTATTCGTGCGTGCCGGACTCGAGTTGCTTGTGCACAGTCACGCGTGACGCTCGGACGTGTGTTGCCGCCCGTCATAATTCGGCGTTGGCTCTCGAGAGTGTCTATTCTGTATGTGCACGTGCATCGATTGAGTGGGCGTGCCTACTTGCGATGGCTGTTTCGGGCGTATTCGGTATAGTGATGCTCAAAACCTTGCGCTGCAAGCAGCCAGGCCATATTTCGCCTGCCTTGTGCCGTTCCGTTTCCGCTTTGACGTTTTCGCTAATAATAAGTGGGCCTTTATTTTACGGCTGCCCCTGTCAGAACTTATCTCACACGTTAATCTATCTATCTATCTATCTATCTATCTATCTATCTATCTATCTATCTATCTATCTATCTATCTATCTATCTATCTATCTATCTATCTATCTATCTATCTATCTATCTATCTATCTATCTATCTATCTATCTATCTATCTATCTATCTATCTATCATCTATCTATCTATCTATCTATCTATCTATCTATCTATCTATCTATCTATCTATCTATCTATCTATCTATCTATCTATCTATCTATCTATCTATCTATCTATCTATCTATCTATCTATCTATCTATCTATCTATCTGTCTATCTATCTATCTATCTATTTTCACTTTGTCAATGAAATGCACAAATTTCTGGCTTCATTTACGCATGATGCAATACGGCAAGCTAGTGCAGTTGGTTTCCCTTGCTTTCCAGTTTAGCCACTCCAACGCCGAGCGGCTGACTGCGACGTTCCATTGTGTGATCTTGCGCAACTGAAGGACAGCTTCGCGTAGTGTCGGAACGAGTTCTTTTCGCAGCGTTCGCTGCTAGGAAGAAAGAGAAAAAAAAATGAATGTGGTCGCCGCTTTTCTTTACACGGAAATGCCTCGTGGCTTTTCCTTAGAGGGCCGCTGCCGAGGAACTTTTGCTGTGCGCACAATTTTCTTTTCCTCCTTCTTCGGTTCGTTGGGTACGTGCGTGTGACGCCGGGGCGGCGCATAATGTCCGTCTTCCTGTAGAATTTATTTTCGTGTTTAGTTTTTGGCGATGGCTGGGCCTTGACGTCAAATTTCACCGCATAGCACGCTTGTCAGCGTAAGTAGCCAGCAACAGGAGTCTAGTGATCATGATGCTTGTCGGGCATGCCAGGGGTGGGCTTTAAGGAATTTCACGTTTGAAACAAGCTACAACTGACCTCGAAAGTACCTTTGCAAACAACAGGCCTTTAGTCTCGTCCGCATTGCGTACCGAGTCAACTGGAGCTCCTCGCCTGGGCAGGCAGTTCTCGCGTGTCCTGTGTCATGGCGTATCGCCGGGTTTCATCTCTGCTGAAGATGCTCGAAATTACATCTCGGCCGGTCTGGCGTGCTTGGTTCTGAGCGAAGCGTTAGCAGGAATGCGAGAGCACACATACTTACACTCAGCCGCCCGCATATAAAATTCAGGATATTGGGTTTATACACAGTAGAGAACGAACTTCGCCGCGGCTTCTTGCGAAGAGATGTAAACATGATGGTTTTTTTTTTGTTTCCACCGAGTTCACGTTAGATTCCGCGATTGTCTTTCGCCATTTAGCTAAGTATTACACTCAACCGCGTGAGCATTCCTCCTCGGCAGTCCTCGACAAAGCGCGGGAGCGCGTGGCTGCTGCGCCGCCGCTCGTCCGAAATCACCCGATCCCGTCATTGCGTAACCGTGATCCAAGCTCGAGAGTCTTGCCACGTGGAGGCACGGAGAAACCGGAGGACGGAGGTAAGTGGTGTCCTTGGCTGCTCGGACGAACAATGGTCAGAAATCGGACGAACGCAGGGACCTCTGTCGCCTGTCGTCGATGGTTTCGCGTCGCAGTTTTCGAGAGCGCCGCTGGGTGGCGCCACCACTCGCTTCGCAAGTCGTTGCTAGGCTCGATTGGGGCTTGGCAACAACATCTGGCGGCTCCGCGTGGGCAGCGTGGGTGTTTCGGTCGTAGGGTGCGCGGTATGAATTGACGGCGAGGGCTCTGGAGAGGAACAAAAGCACGCATTTCGTCGCTGTCGTGGTTTGCCTTTGGGTAGATACACGAACGTTTAAGCATGTTTTCGAATAGCTGACTAGGTCATCTATATTTATGCACCCTGGTGTCTGTAGCATATTGATTTACGC